GGGGAAGTTGACTGGTTGAGGTTGGCTTCTACGCAATTATCCCCACGCTCCCCCCCCCCCTCCCCCACCCTCGCGCCCAAAGCTCTGGTAATCAAAATATCAACCAACATAGTTGGTAGGGAGGGGGGGCGCCTACTACTACTACTACTACCACCACTACTACTACTACTACTACTACTACTACTACTACGACGAGAGCATGCTCTTGCTCCACTTAGGTGACTGCAGTATTCCGATTCTAAGTATCATTGCTAACACCCTATACCAGAGCACCCTACCTAAACCCCAAAAGTATATAGAATAATAGCCCTAAACCCATAATAATAACCATAAAGATCATTATTTTACATACTTTTGGGGTTTAGGTATACCAGAGGCCCTAAACCCACAATTTAGCCGGGTATGCACCAAATGGTCTTAACTAGCCTCGAATAAGGTTCATGAATTAAGGGGTTCAATGTTCAGGTTCAAGGTTCAATGGGGAACCTTGTGGGGGTACTTTAGCTGAGTAGCACCAGAGAATTGAGCCTGTACGGGTTGGCGGAGTCGCTGGCGAGAATCTTATCTTGCGTAATGATGACTTGAGGAAGCCAACCGCTGCAATAAGCACCCTAGAACATGATAGCCAAAGCTGGATTTTGGCTGGGGCTCGGGGAAATCACAAATCCACACATTCTTGCCCTGCAAAGCCTCAAACCAGGATGGCATAAGGGAGCTTGAGTCAATCGAATCTGCAAGTAACTCAGAAAATACCTTCTCCCGTCATGTAAGAACTATGCACGAAACCCAGACCCCGTCGAAGCGGCTAGCCTATGACTACGAAGCCATACGCCTTACTTAGCTTTAGATCCAACTGGCTTTGGTCGCGGCACCAGCATTCTTAGGTGGCGCACCCAAGAACTTAAGAAGACCAGCAACTTCGCAAGTTCAGTAAGGTCGTGCCACGGCAAGGTATTCCACCGTAAGGTCATTCAGCTTTGGAAATGTCATCAACACCCACAGACGTTTCTATGATCTTTCAAGATCCAACACCCCCCGGATCCTTTGAGAACAGGAAGAAGCGTGGATATTCCCATGACCCTGAGAACTGAAGGCTGAAGAATCCCTAGCAAACAATGCCCGGCGACATATAAGCTCCTCACACTCTGGAAGAAGACGGTCATTGTTCCTCTGCTAGCCAGACTTGGTAAGAGATGCGCAGAAACGGCTGGAATAGGTCCTAACTTATGTTGGGTGTACAGTACACAGAAGTACAAAGGCATGTTACCGACTCCTACATGTTACCGAATCCTGAACAAGGACCCTGAACCCTAAAGCCTGAAACCCACAAATAACCTCAGCTTAAGGGACACCTGAAAGGGGTGGCGACAGTCTCCAGCAAGGGAAATCTACTGAGATCCAATTTGGCAAGTTTGTGGGAAGTAAAGAAGTAAACGCAAACATCCAAACGATAAAGTTGCCAAACATCTCTTCCTACGGTGTTGAGTGTCCGAGGCTTCTCAAACATGCAGGCTATTGTTGGGGTGGTGCTTGTGATGAGGAACACGTTGACTAGGGACATGGAGCAGGACTGCACAGTAACATTGAGAAACTCCCTATTGAGCGCATAATGATGAACATAAGGCTAGAATGGGGGATCTTGTCTTTCCGACTGTGTCAATACCCGGGACGCCCGCTTGTATATCTCCATCTGCGAAAGGCTCATGTTCATGAAAACCCCCAGAAACAGAAAACCCATGCTTCAACGATCGAAAACCATCCTAAGCCATACATAAACCTAAGAAACGCCTTTGAAGAGGGCCTCCCCTTTAATGTTGCAGCTGTAGGATTTACACCCGGAAAAAAGTGTTATAAGCCCTCATGTTTCTACTAGATGGAGAACGAATAAACCCTGTTCTACGGCTGAAAGTTAAAATCCTCTTTGGGCCTGACCGACGCGGTGAAGTGGTTGAGGTTTTAGGTTTTACATATGAGCCATAGTCTAAACTCCTGGTATATCCCTTAACAACCCCTATGCTAGTCCCCTATATGAACCCTTAAGAGGTTTAGGGTTTAGGGTTTGGGGTCGAGGGCTTAGGGTTTAGGATTCAGGGCCTTATGTAACCCGTTGAAGGACATATAGCTATCAGGTAGCCCTTTCTTCAAGTCCTCTGAGGACTTTCGCTACAGGCAAGTCCCTCTTCTAGAGATGAAACTTCTGTAACATAGGCGTCATACTACCGAAGGATCCCTAGTCAATAAACTGACGATTCCGCCATCCTAAAAACTCGGGATTGGGGTTTGGTTGAGGGCTTAGGGAACCCTATAGCCTAGACGATAATCCGTTACTGAGGGCTCCGAAAACAAACCCATCTGGAGCATAGTCTGCTACTCTCTCTCTGCTACAATTTAGGATAGATGGTTCCATGTCCTAACGTCGTTTTCACTTCCAAGGAATTCGAGTCGGGAAGTTGACAAGCTTAAGGGTTTAGTGCAATCCCTGCCCCTGGTCCCTTGCAAAGCTTGCTCAGCAAAACTAAATGCCAAGGGTTTAGCCCTAAACCCCTAAACCCTAAACCCCTAACCCTAAACCCCTACACCCCGAAACCCTAAACCCTAAAACCCTAAACCCCTAAACCCCTAAACCACTAAACCCTAAAACCTTAAACCCAGGGTTTGCAGCCCCGCGTCTTGTCCAACCATCCCTTCGTGGTGTACTCCACCCATCCAGCATAGTGCTTCACCAGGAACCCCTGTCCGGTTTAGGGTTTTTAGGGTTTAGGGTTAAGGAAAAGGATTAGACACTAACCCAAGAAATACAAATTTCAGCTCTATCAGCCCTATTTGTACGGGCTAGAACACATGGATCGCTCAGTGGTGTTTGCGCTGGTTGAACCAAGTAGAGTGAAGTCCTCTTATGAATATGCAGTGAAAATGCTCTATTACGACCATGCTGTTTAAGCCCAGGAAAATCTGCATTAGGAGGGATGGCGGGGCTCACTCTTAGAGGAGGGGAGGCCCTAAGCCCTAAACCCCTAACCCTAAACCCCAAACCCTACAACCTAAACCCTGAATCCTAAACCCCAAACCCCAGACCCTGAACCCTAAACCCCAAACCCTGCATCCTCAACCCCAAACCCCAAACCCTGAACCCTAAACCCCAAAACCTGCATCCTCAACCCCAAGCCCCAAACCCTGAACCCTAAACCCCAAACCATGAACCCTAAACCATAAACCCCGAACCCTACAACCTAAAGCCTGAACCTAAACCCCAAACCCTGAACCCTAAACCCCAAACCCTGCACCCTCAACCCCAAACCCCAAACCCCAACCCCTGAACCCTAGACCCCAAAACCTGCATCCTCAACCCCAAACCCCAAACCCTGAACCCTAAACCCCAAACCCTAAACCATGAACCCTAAATCCCAAAAAAAACCCTACAACCTAAAGCCTGAATCCTAAACCCCAAACCCTGAACCCTAAACCCCAAACCCTGCACCCTAAACCCCAAACCCTAAACCATGAACCCTAAACCCCAAAACCTGCATCCTCAACCCCAAACCCTAAACCCTGAACCCTAAACCCCAAACCCTAAACCATGTAGCTCACCCTTTGTCTGCTGCCTCGCTCACGGAGAGGGCGGAGCCACTCCCCCGGCGATTGGAAAGTTTCAGCTGCCTGGCACATGAGACAACCTGCGGCCTGGACCCTGCCCCTGAGCTCCCATTCTGCTTAGCTAGATTTGGGGTTTAGGGTTTAGGGTTTGGGGTTTAGGATTTATTTGGGGTTTACGGCTTAGGATTTAGGGTTTACCTGGAGAACCAGGTGTGCTGTTTTTATAGGCAACTGCCTGAAAGTGTACGATTCTTGGGGGGTCTTGCCTAAAGTTGACGATTTCCCGCTGGCCTGTTTCATGTGATCCTGAACAAGTTCGACTTCCTTCATTGGGGTCAGCGCCTCAAGAGAGAGAATCCCACAAAATACTTTTGCAGATGCCATGCGTCAAGGTCCAGCCATGGCGAAAACGAGTCCATTCGAGGACAGCAGGGCCAATCAAAGTTTCAGGGCTAGAGGGTCTTTCAAGCATTCTAGAACACTCTTTTATGATGCTGTTGATGCCCCTATTGTCCCCAGCGCGTTGCCACAGCAACCTTGTACTTCTGTAGCGTTCGGAAATGTAAGGTGGCTGGGTGGCACACACGTGCAAGTGCACATATGCGGCCCACAAAGTCTTCGTCTTGTTGACAAGAAAAGCTAAGAGGGTTCAGCACAAGCTGGCTACAGCCAGCCTCAGCCCGTAAGCTGTGCACGACATGAGCCCACATGTGTGATTTCGGAATGACCTGATATCTAGGCAGATTGCAAGCCAGAGCATGCGCTGCAAGCTTGTTAAAGAGCCTGAGAAAACCAAATCCATCGCTTGCAATTGACCTTGCTGTATCAGCCTGCATCCATAACCCATTCGAATACAGTGCTCTCAAGCAGTCATTTGCGAACTTCGCCGTGGCCCAAATGTTGCGAAGATAGTCTTCAGAATTCCCTTCATAGTCTGCCAGAAAAGTTCCAAACTTCCATTGTACAAAGCTGCAAATTGTGCGCGTATCATTGCCCTTGAACCAGTTCCTTTGATGGGGTCTTAAGTGGAACAAGGTTTTGCTGGAAGGGGTTGGGATGTAACGAAATTCATAGAATTCATAGAATGAGCAAAACATTATAGCAAGTAATGGACTAAGATATCATGCAAGGGTCGCTGAGGGATACTCCGAAACTTTGGCACATCCCAAAACCGTTTTCGTGAGACCAGTCATGTGCAGATTCAAGCTTTGTTGACGGGCGTATCGCTGAAGTTCGGCGAATATGAAATCACAACGTGTCTGGAAGGAACCAGCAGGTACCATATCAAAGTCCATCATGGTCATCTCGGGTTGCACATTCCCCTCATAAAGCTTAACTATAGGGTCTTAGAGCTGAGGACTACTATACTCTACAATTGAAGAAAATGAAGCTTACGCATGAAATTTTAATCCATCACAATGCCAAGTCTCGAGAGCACTTGCTGCGAAATCCCCCATGAGTCCCTTGTGGCATGTATGAAAAATGTCCACCATGAAGAATCGAGCTTTCACATCGCAAGGAATCTTAAGAAGCGGAGACGGGTATCTCCATGGCTCATCATCAAGTGCATGCGGATCAACAAGCCAAGCAGCCCGGGAATCAAACTCATTCCAAGGGTAGCCACTGCGCCCAGCCTGGCAGAGGTGACAAATTCCTGGAGGGCACGGTTTTTGTGGCGAGTCGCGCAAAAAACTGCGATTGAGTCTCCCCAACTTTATCAGTCCTTGCCAGTCCCCCTTGAGTCCCAGCACAATGGGATACAGTCGTTCTGCGCGCCCATTAATAACCACAGGAATCCCAGAGTAGAAGTACCTTGCGAAATCATCGGCCCAATGGTCAAGCAACTTGTAGAGCACGCTTTTGTTCTTGCTGAAGAGCTTTGCTGAAATCACAGAATACAACATTCGGCTCAAAAAAGTTGACCCAGAGAAGTTGATGTCATCTGCTCGTCTTGAGCCTTTACCCAGAATCGGTTGGACCTGAAGAATCATCAAGCCCTTGCGCTTCTGTCCCGTTCCCTCGTCGGCATGGAGATACATAGGAATGCATTTGTCAAGACGATGCTGATGATGTTCATAGACTGGGTGTCTTGGCCTACGCGCCCGAAGATGCTGCCAGAACAGGCGGAAATCGGTAGCGTTGTGGTCTTGCAACCACATTTCTTTGACCTTGCCAGCTTTTTGAAAACCAGCCATCATATCTCCAAACCTCAAGACAGGATGTTTTTCATCAAGGCCTATGTCGACGTACGTGGTGTTGATGTCCACTTGCAAACCATACTTTTCCAGGATTTTGTCAATTCGTGGCTCATGCCCTGTCTCTGCAAGCCGGCCGACACTCTGAATGAAGTCCATAGACTCAATCTGCGATTCAGCTGCATTCAACTCTGTGAGAAAAGCTGCCGCCAGCGCACATGTCTGTCGTTCACTTACCTGAGGAGAAAAACAAAGAAATGTTTAAAGGAAATGCCTTATAGGGTTTCGTCCACACAGAATGAAATACAATTTCGAACAAATGTGTTTAGTAAATGGTTCTCGAGACATGGCCCCACGTGTCATTTAGGGAATGAAGCCCTGGTACCCTGTTTCGCAACCAAGAATCCCCTGCCGCAATAGCAGAAGCCACAGCCCTTGCCGCAGGACCAGTTTTCCTGCGCTTCTTCGTGAGATTTTCGCCTGGCACTCAGGGATTATACACAAGGTAAAGCCGACTGAACATGCTGGTGCGTGATCCTCACAGAAGGTAAGCTTGCATGTTACATTCCGCTGGGTTTGCCCATATAAATCTATAAGCTTCTTCGGGGTATTGGTGTGGTGGTGCCCTTGATCATGCGTTGGAAGCCACGAATATAGCCGTTTTGAGCAGCTTGCGCAAATAACTCGCCTGAACAAGCACTTGTAAGGCTCATGCTGTAGCAAGTTGCCTTCTAACCCCCAGCTTCCGAAGCCTGTGCGAAAACGACACACGCTTCTTCTAATTTGCAAGGTCGCTCCTCGGGCGGCCGCTGCTTCTACAAAGTCTGGGCCACAGCTGCGCAGCTCAGAGTGTCACATGAGGCATTCAGCTATTCTAATTGGTAAGCAGTTACCGGGGAGTAACCAACCTCTGAGAGCACCAGCCGATCTACTGCTTGGCTTTTGCCTTGTTTTTGGCCTTGCCCTTTCCCTTGCCTTTGCCCTTAGGACTAGGGTTGCCCTTTGCGTCCTCACTGGAACTGTTTTCAGGCGTAGGTCTGGATGTCTTCAGAATCGTCCTGGGTGAATCAACATATGTAAGCGAAATCTTTTGAAACGGCCGGCGTTAAGGCTGTGGCTTCTTCAACTTGTTCTCCTGCATCATTGCGAGAGAGCACCTCATGCAGAGCAGCAGGCACAGGGGGTCTCGGGAATTGGAGAAACTATGGACTAAGCTTCGGGCTCCTTCTCAATCTTCCGCACAAGTTCTTCAAGTTTTTTTGTGCTCCTTAGATAAAACTGCGCGGCATGCCTACTGCAAATCAAGGGGTGGGAAACAAGGAGTCCACTGGATTTGAAAAGCATGATCGACTTTTCTCCTGAGGAATCCCAGGTTCGTTGAATCCAGGTTCTTGTAGGCATCAAAGGTGGCCTTGAGGTCGGCCACTTCATCATGATGTCGCATGAGCGTAGCAGTCCTGACCCTGAGTTGGCGAAGCTGCCTTAGTTGCCCACTTCACTAGTCCAGAGTCTATACAGAACCCTACAACCCAGTACCTTTGAACCCTGGAACCCTAGAACCCTACCCTAAACAATAGGCAAAACCACCACAAGAAAGCAAATAAGATTGGCGAATAGGACTCTCGACTATCTGTATCCTTGAACTTCTCCAGCTTGCCAATGGTTCCCTCAAGCCTTGCTTGGATTTTCAGGACCTGGGAAAGCACCTCGCCGACATTCTCCACAGCCTAGCAGGCAGGGTTCTCAGAGGCTACATGCATTGGATTGTGCTACAAGACTACTTGCAAAGACATGATGTAGAAAATGAGTGCCTCCAAAGCTTGCTCCTGCTCCACTGACCCGCGGACACCAACACGACCTCCTGATCCCGAAGTAGCTTTGCTTCTGCCCTTGCCCTTGCCCTTGCCCTTGCCCTTGCCAGAGCTGGAAGCGTCATCATCTGAGGCATCGCCGGACACGTGATCATCCATGGAGGCAGCATCCGACTCAGCATCTGAAGGCGCATCCGGGGGTGCATTGCCATCACCCAAGTCCTTGCTGTGCGTATCCTGGAACGTGTTCTCTTTCTCATCGGCCACCTCCGCAGTCCAACTCTTTTCCACATAGTAGAGCTTGATCTCTGGCTGGTAGCGATCGCGCCTTGTCTTATTGACATAACAATGCAACCCCGAAAATTGTTCTACTCAATGCATACCTTGGGCCCAGCTACTTCACGTGTGAGTCACGCCTTGAAGGATGGCTGCAGTAGGCAACCACAGCTTTGATCCTTGACCTCAGATCACGCAAGAAAGAAATAGTACATGTAGAAGATGCTGCAAACATGTACGCTCAACATTGCTGCAGAGAGGTTGCGGGCTGAACTTCAACTCAGTCTTCATGTCTTCCTTGCTGAACCATCCAAAGGTTCTCTTGATGGTCTTCTTGCGGGACTTCTTGGTGATGTGCTCGATGCGGCGAAAGAAGGCAGCCTGAAGGGATTTAAAGGGCACATGATATGGTTGCAAGGTTTACTTCGGGTCAGCGTGGTCAGTGAGATCTTTATCATGTATTCTAAATGGAGTCATTCTGAAAAGGGCTTATATAACAATGGTTTATTATGAAGATTGGACTTCAATTTAGGCCCACCTTGTCTCCACCAACCTCCGTGAATTCCCGAATCAAGGCAACTCTTTGGGCGCCCCCAGCCCTGAACTGGCGCACCACGCTAGGCGGTGCTTCCACCTTTCCCGATCTGGTTTTTGGATTGCACAGGCGACCCAACTTGGCCTCAGCAGCTCTCTCCTGTCATCATGTAAGTCAAGAAAGTCTTCGAAACATACATGCACACAAAGATGCTGCGCAAGATCTTTACCTGAAGTCCTGGGGAGT